TAAGTTCGATTTCTAGTCGCAGCTAACACCAGTGAGCAAGTTACAGGATATTTAAACCATTTATAAAGTGTCTCGTCTTCATCCGGCAGTGGATTGGAAAGGGGCTGTACATTTGCAATATATTGTTCTCTTACACGTTAAAATATATGTTCACGTCTTGCACAGCACTTAAAATGCGCATATATCTCGTGACTGCAAGACTTCATATTCTTTGGGTATAAGTCACGTAGATAGAACAATAAAATAATAAAAACGAAAATAAAGTGAATTAAAAAATATCTTTAATTCACTTTATATTCATTAAAGTGAATTAAAAATAAATAAATATTTCTATTTTCACTTCTTTTTCTTTCTTTTTTCCTTTTTATTATTTTACTGTTCTATCTGCGTGACTTTACCGAAAGACCCAAAGAATATGTGCATATATATGTCTTCATGCTTTCCAAATGAGGTTGAAAGTTGCAGTTGTCGCTCGCTTTACGGCAACTCACTATCCGGAATTTCGCTGCAACGTAAACTTGTAAATTGTGGGTAACGAATTCGATGAACGTTACATTAAATCATCATTTACGGCGAATGCGTGTGTCTCTAAGAATGCACGGTCTGTCGTCGTTTGTACGAGCGCACATTCTGCATACCTTATTACAGACTAATTCAGACCTTATTGGTCACCCCGTGGACCTTACAAATCTCAACGTTCATCCTCCAAAGTCCCATCACAAGGGGGAAACACAAACAATTTTACAATCTTCTTGGTTCTTTTGGTAAAGTCACGTAGAATGGAAATGATAAATTAATAATAATACAACATAATTAAATAATTCTCACGACGTTTCGGCCACAACGCAAGCAGTCGTCCTCAGGTGAAGAACAGGTCTGTCGAGAAGACTCTCTAATAAAATAATGAGAATTATTTTATTATGTTTTATTTTTATTATTTTATTATTTCCATTCTACGTGACTTTACCAAAAGAACCAAGAAGATGAATCCCTGCAGTCACGAAAGCTTTAAATCGAAATTATACAATCACCACTAGTACACTCACCACTAGTGCACTCACCTCTACAAACCTGTCAACCCCTTGTCAGTGCCCTACCTTATTACAGACCAATTAAGACCCTATCGGTCACCCCGTGGACCATATACATCTCAACGTTCAGCCTACAAAGTCCCATCGCGAGGGAGAAACACAAACAAATAGACAAAACATTTTTCTTCATGATAAAGGTTTTTGGGTTAGATCGTGTAAGTATAAATGTGTCGTAACCCTCCACCACCCGGCACAGCCAATCAGTTCGGGATTTGTCACGTAAACAAAACGCGCCAATTACTACTTCAGCTCACAGGTGCGTTGGAGAGTAAATACACAACATTGCCAATTTGAGTACGACGTTTCGCTAGTAATTACATTCAGCATCATCAAATAGTGAAGCAATCCACCCGCTTCCAATCTTAAATAGAGCAAGACGACTTCATCACTGAACCCACCAGGTGCAGAAATAAGAAGGGGGGGGGGTATTGTAATGATATAAAAGATTAGTAATCATTTAATTATCTTCTTGGTTCTTTCGGTAAAGTCACGTAGAAGGGAAGTAATAAAATAATAAAAATAAAACACAATAAAATAATTCCCACGACGTTTCGGTCTTGAGAATTATTTTATTGTGTTTTATTTTTATTATTTTATTACTTCCCTTCTACGTGGCTTTACCGAAAGAACCAACAAGATGAATCCCTGCAGTCACGAAAGCTTTAAATCGAAATCATTTAATTAGTATGCGTTTCCTCTATGAAGGAATTGTAATTGTAAGATCCTTTCTTCTTCCACGTGTTTGTCCCACTCATGTAGGATCCGCTGTGCTCACCCCGCCTCTTCTTCTGCCTTTCTATTGATCTCCTCATCTTACAATTACTTCATCATAACGCTTCCAGGCCGCACTCAGCCTGTAGCTGTCAGAGCGGTTAAAATTATTTGTATTTCTCTCAAGATAGATTAGTAATCATTCAGTTAGTATTGAAACGGATGTACGCCGTATGGACCTGAAAACTCAATTTCCCTGTACAAGAACACGGAGGGAACCGTGTGGGTTGACAGCTGTGATGGTTCTGTATGCTGATCCACGTGCTTTGCGCGACGCTCTTCATGTCGGTCCTGTGCAGAATGTTTCAAGGTTACTCGGAAGAAGAAGAGTTCTTCATACTCTTAGATTCTTTCGGTAAAGTCACGTAGGTATACAATCAAATACATTTTACCTACGAGCTTAATTTGGAGCTTTCGTGACTGCAGGAATTACTCTTTGGTTCTTTCGATAAAGTCACGTATCAAGAGAAAACAATAAATTAAATACTAGCATACGAAGTTTCGATTGCAACACAAGCAATCATCATCAGGTATAAATGAAATAGAAAGACAAATCTAGTATACTTAGAAATGTACTGTAATACAACAGAGAGTCGGATAACATAACAGTCAACACCCTACCTGGTTGATTAACCAGGTAGGGTGTTGACTGTTATGTTATTTTTTTCGTATGGATAACATAACAGTCAACACCCTACCTGGTTGATTAACCAGGTAGGGTGTTGACTGTTATGTTATCCGACCAAAGAGTTATACCTACGTGACTTTACCGAAAGAACCAAAGAGTATGGATCCCTGCAGTCACGAAAACTTCAGATCTAAAGAGTTCTTCAGTTAAAGTCAAGGTGTCTGGAAAGAGGCATGTCAAGTGCAAGTGATAGCAGAAGTGGAAAAAAAAGTGGAAAAGAGATCTGCACAGGTTGGTCCAGATGTATCGTGACCCTCCAATGAATTGACCCCTAACATTGGTTTACCTTTGCATATTCTTTTTGCGTATAAATAAACTTTACTTACAAATAGGACGTTTTAGAGGATTTAATGGGGGTTCCAAGTTCATCTGGACCACCCTGCAGAGTTTTTTTCGCGACATGTTTTAAAATGTCCAATATACAAGTGATCGATTTTAGATTAAATGTGCTTTAAGGTTTGCTGCATTGATTTTACTAAGTATTGGGGCCGAATAGTTTGTTTTCCTCCCATAGGAACGCACCTCCAATAATTTAAAATAGGCTTTCGATAAACGGAATTTCGCTTAACGGACAACGTATCTGTCCCTATATCGAGTGGCGCCCGTATTTGAAAATCCGATATGGCCCTAAGTAAGGAAAACGTTTCCCATCCGTGATATAACGCACATATTGAAATTTAATATCAATCGCGCAGTCAATATCGTCGTTACCAAGATAACGAATATAAACAAGTAAATTACCAGTTTACAGATCACTGGAATATAATCGACACAATTACACAGCAATCAGCTGATAATGTATTTAACAAAACTAACACAACCCAAATGAACAAATTTGCTAAACTAACAAACAACTCCCAACTAAAAATGAACATTTCATTAACACCCCCCCCCCCCTCTTTGCGCAAGAGCGCAGAAGTGTGGTCACCACATCCACGCCTCTATATGAGAAACGAAACAGGAGGACTTCTCCACAAATTTGCCTGTCGCCTGATGAAGCTAGTTGTAATTACTGGCGAAACGTCGTACTCAGATTGTAAATGTTGTGGCTTGGCTCTCCAACACAACGGTGTTGCTATACTATGGGGACCTCATTTGCCAGTAAAAATATGATAATTGGTTCTTTACCCTTCTATCTGGCAACAAAACTGACACCTTTTTGCAAGGAGTCATGTTTGCATAGACCACAATACCTGCAGTCATAAATACAAACAAAAGACAGTGCACATTATCAGAGTTATGTCTTTTGTTTGTATTTATAACTGCAGGTATTGTGGTCTATGCAAACATGACTCCTTGCAAAAAGGTGTCAGTTTTGTTGCCAGATAGAAGGGTAAAGAACCAATTATCGGTGTTGCTATACTAGTGACAAATTGGCCACGTTCTGTTTACAGGACAACCCTTACTAGTTGGCTGTGTCGGTTGGTGGCGGATTAAACGACACATTTATACATTTACGCGATCTAACCCCAAAAAACTATATTATGAAAGTAAATTATCCTCCCCACTCAACACATCATCATGTTACCCAGTAAGTCTGCTGAGCCCAGTAATACTGTGGCGGGGGGACCAATTCATCCACAGCACTACCAACCGTTGACTTCACACAAAATAGTAACAATTTTATCCACCGCCAACGATGAACGTGGCTTTAAGTTGACCTCTGACCAGGATACGAAAAACATCGCCCCCCCCCCTTCCTCGCTGCCCCCCTCCCTCCCTCGCCCCCCTCCCTCCCTCCCTCGCCCCCCTCCCTCCCTCCCTCGCCCCCCTCCCTCCCTCCCTCGCCCCCCTCCCTCCCTCGCCCCCCCCCTCCCTCGCGCCCCCTCCCTCCCTCGCTCCCCCTCCCTCCCTCGCTCCCTCCTCCTCGCCACCCCCTCCCTCGCCACCCCCTCCCTCGCCCCCCCTCCCTCCCTCGCCCCCCCTCCCTCGCCCCCCCTCCCTCGCCCCCCCTCCCTCGCCCCTCCCCCTCCCTCGCCCCCCCCCCTCCCTCGCCCCCCCCCCTCCCTCGCCCCCCCCCTCCCTCGCCCCCCCCCCTCCCTCGCCCCCCCCCTCCCTCGACCCCCCCCCTCCCTCGCCCCGCCTCTCCCTCGCCCCCCCCTCCCTCGCCCCCCCTCCCTCGCCCCCCCCCCCTCCCTCGCCCCCCCCCCTCGCCCCCCCCCTCCCTCGCCCCCCCCCCTCCCTCGCCCCCCCCCTCCCTCGCCCCCCCCCCTCCCTCGCCCCCCCCCTCCCTCGCCCCCCCCTCCCTCGCCCCCCCCCCCCCTCCCTCGCCCCCCCCCCCCCTCCCTCGCCCCCCCCCCCCTCCCTCGCCCCCCCCCCCTCCCTCGCCCCCCCCCCTCCCTCGCCCCCCCCCCTCCCTCGCCCCCCCCCCCTCCCTCGCCCCCCCCCCCCTCCCTCGCCCCCCCCCCTCCCTCGCCCCCCCCCCTCCCTCGCCCCCCCCCCTCCCTCGCCCCCCCCCCTCCCTCGCCCCCTTCCGGCCAAACGGCGCCGGTGAGAGAGCTGCTCCAACCGCGGCCTGCAGACGCGCGCCGCACGAACCCACTTGCTCACGTCGCGCCGTCTACGCGAGGTGAGTTTCGCGCGTTTATGTTTAATGCGCTTAAAGTCGAAAAGCGTCGAGGCTCTTTGAGACACGCGAGAGAACGCGGCGACCGCGATCGCCGCCGACGGTGTTTACGTTGCCGGCTCGGTGTTGGCCGAGGCGGTCTGTGGGCGTCGACCGTCCTTGCCTAGATTCTCTACCCGGCGAACGACGCCGGTCGCCGCGGGGTTTCTATCCCCAGCGCGCCGTTACTGACGCGGCCTGCGTGTAACGTGAGAGGGTGAGTGTGTTTGCGCATGAATTAAAGGTAGCGTTTTAAATGTGTATTTTTGTTATATTTGTTGCGTTGTCATGCTCGGGATTGTGTCGTGTTGTACATTTTCCTCTCCACACTTGGCTTAAGTGTAAGAGATGAGTGATTGGAATGGCAGGGCCTCAAATGCCTCAGCTGACATATCTAAGGCAGTTACTCGCCTATACGGAACCGTTGATTGTATATACATTTAATGCGCTGTATTGCTCTTTTTGTTTCTTTGAATTGTTATTTGTAACCACTGTTCATAATCGCATGTCGTGGCTGCTTTTAGACGTGTAATTCCGATTGTATTATTTATAGCAGTGGCAATGCTCCTTACAGTGCAGTATTTAGTATTCTTGTTTAACCACATTGCAGTTTTTGTTATTTAAACGCCAATTCAACAATACAATGCATGCAGTATTCCATCACAGGTACTATATTCTTAACGTGTGTATATTCTAAATACGCTTTGAGGTTTGTTTATATCTACATTTAATGTCGCATTACTCAGAAGTGTTTTCAACCCTCAAACCAAAGTATAATTACTGTACAACTAATGCAATGTATACTTAACGTTTTACTTTCTTTATTCCACGTGCGTTTAAGGATTTGATTGCATATAATGTGTGATTCTACGTTAATCTACATAATTATGCCAGTCCGTGCAAGTATGAGATTCCGTCATATGACGTGTGCAAACTCTTTCTTAAATTTATTAATTCGGTATACTATGGTCGATATATACATTAACATTCTCTCTCTGTGGTTGTATGAAAAAACTTGAGTATTTGTTTGCATCTTAATCCATTGTGGGTAAGGTGTATTATGCATGCATCCAGTGTGCATTAAACATAGGTAGGTTCGGCAATTTGTTCCATTCATCATCCATGATCAATCCACTGCTGGATAAAGGCCTGCAATCCTGCGATGCATAAGTCTACCTAGCACTTGCACACCAGCTGATTTCATTGCTCCGTCGATGTAGATGTGCCTTCAGTTACATTCTGGATTGTAGATTATACGTAGAATCAAGACAGGAACCGTATGCGTAATCCACCTACGTGACGTGGGAGTGGGGTACGCCGTGCCATAGGTGCATTTTTTGCGCACACGTCACCCCCATTGCCTCCCGCCACCACTAGGCGGCAACACTGACCTTTCAGACCATGAAAATCAGGAACCTAATAATCACTTCTATGTAATATATGTGTCGGTTTCCAGCGTCTGTACAGAGACATCCCCCTGGCTCAAGCGCCAAATAGCAATGCTAGCTTTAGCCACAAGCTTCTTTCTGCTGAGACTGCAGTACTACACAGCACCATCCATTTGACAGTTCGCGAGATTGGGAATAGCCTCATAGTTTTGGACTTGTAAGGAACGCGTCCAAGGTTACTACTGTTCGCTAGCATTTTGTGCCACTTATTTATCCGATCAATCAGTCGTAGAATAAGCAATGTCTCGGGTCAGTACTTCATCCAGTGCTAGGAAGCACGTGTACTCCAAGGTAAGTGCTTAAAACATGTTCTTGTGGAGGTTTGTAAGTGTTAAGTTGTTGCTGTGTTTTAAACTATGGATACATTTATACTGTGTAATAAAGGCACAGTACTTTCAGCTGTGCTCGCACCTGTATTCAAATGTAGTCCTGTAGGGTAATTGCATTACATTTGTGATGATGCTTGCAAATTGTACGTTATACAAACGGTGAATATCATACATATGTAATCATCCAAAAGGCAATTTAGAATAAAATGGTTTTACGTGTTTAAATCACGAAGAAATGTCCATTTCACTGCAGCTTTGTAAATGCTTTGGAATCTGAAGCCTAAGTAGTAGATTTACTTTTTATTTTTCTTGAATCCATTTGTAGAAACTGACATTTAAAAATGTGGATTTTAACGTGACATACTGCTCATATGACTTCATCTACAAATCATATTCAATGAACACAGCATACAGTAGTTCATTCCATCTTCATCATCAGTCATTGTCTATCCACTGCTGGATAAAGACCTCCCCATGCCATCACCATCCCTCACGGTCCAGTGTCGTTACGATCCAACTAATTCCTGCACATGAACTATATAACCATCATCAGTTAAATAACCATCATCAGTTAATTTAATATTAGCATTTGAAAACACGGTGTCTAATTGCAGTGTTTTGTATGCAGTCTACCCCTCTTAGCAAGATGACATCAGAAGGGAAGCCACTGAAGGTGGGCTCGCGTGTGGAAGTGATCGGAAAGGGCCAGATTGGGACCGTGGCATATGTGGGGGCCACCATGTTTGCCACGGGCAAATGGGTTGGTGTCATCCTGGACGAGGCTAAAGGCAAGAATGACGGCACGGTTCAGGGCAAGCGTTACTTCACCTGCGAGGACAACCACGGCATCTTCGTGCGACAGTCGCAGGTTAAGTTTCCTTCGTTTTCACCGTACTAAAATGTTTAGATGCTGGTGTAGTTCAGGCATTTTTGCAACAGGGGAGATGGTTTGAGTTGCCTTATAAAGGCTTCTGTGTTGCCTGTCACACACTTTTCATGTGATGAGCAACATTTCACAATGGACTGCTTTGTTGTTTATTTTATGAATTCATTTTTTTATTTGTATATAATAAATGAGTACTATGTCTAATGTGGAGCGTGAAGGTTATGTTGTATGCTTTCCATTGGTATTACAAAGCTTAATGCAATGCACATTTTATGGAATATTTGTACTTTACAGTCGCATTGATGCAGGGTGCAGAACTGTGGGTTTGTGGTTAAGTTGTCCAATGTGCAGTGTATTCGAGATAAGTAGCAAACAAAAAGCAAACTCTTTCCCAACTTTGATTGCTCCACAGGAATTGTACAATTTATAACACCTGCACTGCATGTAGTGTTCCACAAGTCAACGATTAGCTCTTAAGCTTGGAAATTGTTAGATTGTTCATTAATCATTGTACAAATATGCTTTTAAAGCCTCCAAATATAAGTATGCAATCATCGTGGTATGTTTACATGTGGTGGTCGATGGAAATATTTTTGTGGATTGACAAACATTCTGTATTTTCTTCAAGATTCAACTGGTTGAGGATGGAGGAGACACTTCTTCCCCAGAAACCCCTGAACCAGTTGCTCCTGCTAAAATCCCAAAGAAAGGTAAGGGAACTGCAGAATATGGTTGTTTGCAGATGTGTAAGATGTGGATAATCGTGACTAGATCATCCTTGTGGTTTTTAAACAAGTTATTTTATTTGCATGAAACAAACCACCTGCTTTTCAGGATAATTGGTTTGGAGATTTTTTTTATTGACCATTAAAAAAAATGCACATATAACTTTTCCTTTAAACAAATAAAAACGGGTTTATTTAAATTTATAAGTATATCCAGAAAGTTTTAAAAGTTACAGTTTTCCAAAAGATGTCAGCTTATAATGCAGTGTTTTAGTTGAGTGTTGTGTATATTGTTTTGCAGAAGTCTCTGAAACACCAAAATCAAGTAAATTGGTGAGTGACTTTTAATATTCGAATAAACACATCTATCATCCATTTCTAATGAGATGTTTTTGATTGTTTTTCTTTATTTTAATAGTACACTGCTGTTACTTTCGAAGTGTCAAGTACTCAACACGTTTGTGTTTTTCATTTCCTTTTTCACCAATCTAATAAAGGGATTTATTGCACTTCATTATTTTATTGATTCCTGAGCACTTTATGCATTTTACTAATAACCGATGAACGTTTAACAAGACAACTTTCAAAAACATATTACTCTTGTTCGCATGTATCAGGCCATTGTCTATGACCGACCAGCTGGTTTAGTAAACACTCACGAAACCAAACTCTTTTGCTATGAATGTGTCCACTGTACACCCTGGACACATTTGCAAACGAGATGTTTCATCTCAACGTATTATCCAGGTGAATATTCAAATACAATACAATGCACGCATGCATGTTCAGTGAACATTCTTCCAATTCGTTTTGGAGAAAGGTTGGATTGTTGCTTTTCTTTTACAGGTAAGTTCAACAAACTTTGTGTAAACAATACAGCTGTTTTGTCACTGGAGGGATTTGCGCGCATTGGAAACTTCTTATTTTCTGATCCTTTTTCACCATTCATAAGGCTGGAGTACTATTAGTAAATAATTTGGTGATCCTGCGTTGGCAGTGGTGCGCAAGCACAGATAACAAACAACACATTCGTTAATAACACTGCCTTCAACAGAAAAATGTATAGCAGGTAACGTTTTTGACAATTGCCCTTCTTCATAGCACATGGAGACACCAGCGGGGTAGTGCATACTAGTTGTAGACTGCACGAGACACCATGGGCCTTGATTATATTTTTAAATTTCGATTTAAAGCTTTCGTGACTGCAGGGATTCATCTTCTTGGTTCTTTCGGTAAAGTCACGTAGAAGGGAAGTAATAAAATAATAAAAATAAAACATAATAAAATTATTCTCACGACGTTTCGGCCACAGGTCACAGGTCCGTCGAGGCGACAGAGTCGCCTCGACAGACCTGGTTTTCACCTGAGGACGGCTGCTTGTGTTGTGGCCGAAACGTCGTGAGAATAATTTTATTATGTTTTATTTTTATTATTTAATATTTTAAAAATTCTCATCAGTTCCTTTGGGGTATAGTGCAGTCTCCAACTATTATTCACTAAATTTTGGCCTCTCTTTGTGCGATGATGAAGAGCCATCATTGCCTAAATCGCCACCAATTATATGCAGTATGTTCCTTTTAAGGCAGCGCTCTTGACGAATGTTACGTTTTTTGCAGTACCATTAGTGTTCGCTTGGTGGTGTACGTGTGCAACTGCTGTATCTCAGCATATCTGCAATGAAAGGAGATGCTTGCCTTTGGAAAACGGAATATTTTGTATGCATTTCAGTACAATTAATTGGGCAGTTTTACTTCATATAATAAGACGAAAGTGAGTAGTGAAGTGATGTATTCAATATTTAAAATAGCATGTGTACATTAACTGTAACATTTTTTGCCAGGGATCTTTTATTCAAATTTGTCAATTTTTCTAACCCTTTGCTTTCGTATACTATTTGACTTCAAGAGGGCAGCAAAACCCAAAAAGGTGGTTTTCCTAAATCGTTGTAATGCACTTATATATCTCGTGCTGCACTTTTATTTACTCCTGATAAATGTTTGTTTTTTAAGAGATTCATTGCCAAATCATTTTTTACACCACTACCTCTGCTGACAGGCTGTTACTACCACCACTGCTTCTGTTCCCACCTTCGTTCAAGTGTAACCCTTGTATCTAATTTTTGATTAGATGTGGATTGCATTAAATATTTCAATTTGTTTTACATCAAATGTAAGGAGTCAAACCAATGATGAGATTTTCAAGTTATGCTTAGCAACTGAAATTCACTTTCTTTAACACGTTTCTCACAGAAATAAAGGTCAGTTTGAATTGTGCAACAGTAGTAGTGTGTATGTGCTGTTGGAGTGAATAATATTGAAGAATTACGTGAGAACACTTTTACTTCTCAATGCTGTATAAGCAGTTTTAAATCATCACATAAATGTATATTTCTCTTTCCTTGCTGGAAAACTATGCAACAAAATTGTTTTTTTTCAAAAGCACTGATTATTGGAAAGTTGTAGCTGCAAACAGAATATATTGAAACACGAAAAATGTTTGCGGCCATTTGTTTTTGCCACTTTGCAAATAATGGTTAAATGTTACATCATAATTAATCATAACGGAAATTTTAATTTGGGATTTAAAAAAGTAAAATTGCTATAAAGAATAAAAAAATAAAAATTATGCATAAAATTCATAGACTTTAAAAAACATTTCTTGAATTATTGTTTTAATCAGCAAGTACCATACATGCGGTAATGGCATGTCAGCAGAGATAGGTTTATTATGCACAGGCTGCGCTTTTGACTCATCCTTAAAACTGCTTAGTTTGCCTCAATATAATTGCCACATTTCCACCTCCCTGCATTCCTCTTCATCGTACAGTACTTGCCTTTTCTGTATTATCGTTACAGCACACTGCACAATGCTTTGTAATGTGCATTGAATGGGCTTTTATTGTCTCCGTGATATATATTTTTTCAAACCATAGCATGTGCGCTGCTCAGCGTGGTCCTAATTGTGTTGTTGTCTCTTAAGCGCGCAGCTGTTGAGCTGTGCAGCGTGATATTGGTCGTAACACCGCTCATAAAAATCTAATGATTGCAAAAAATAGTGTAAACCTATTCTGAAAATCTGTTTAGATTTGTAACATTACTGCCATTGGCAAATGCTGTAAATTGCTTCGGGTGGTTTAAGAGGAACCTCAAATGGATTATGATGATCGTTCTCATGGAAACCTGGCTAGGCAGTGGGATGGAATTAAAATGGCAGCGCAGTGACTACGAATCTGGGATAGACTGTATGCTGCACAAGAACGGGCACGTCTGTAGAAAGGGAGATTTTAGCACAGTGCAACGTTTTCTTTGTCGAAATCAAATACTGCCAACGATGTGTTGGCTATTATGAGCTGATGGGCATTGCGTGTGTCAAGTGTAGCTTTAACAACAAAAAAGCCTTTTCTGACGACGTTTTCTGATAGGCGTTTTAAAAAATACTGACGTCATGTGAAGCCAACCCAATGTCAGTGGACTAATGCTTTTTAGCATAATGTTGTTCCCTGCCTATTGTATAACGTCTCGGGAGCAGCGAGTGAGTGCTAAGTGTTCCTCGGTCTTAGCTGTAGCCGGACCCCCTCAGGGGGCCTTATTCAGAGAGCGTATGTGGTGACCCTTTGCAGCAGCAGCAGCAGCATAAATAGACGGACCCTTGTTTCTCCAGGCACACACACCAAGCTTCTAGCTGATTTTTAGAGCTGGTGCAAGAAAGTGAACGACAGATCGAAATTTAAAAAAATATTGTCTCTGGAGCAAGTCTGTGCTAGGGAGAGCTTTCTGTTTATTTTTTAAAATATATCTTTCTTAACCATTCTGTCTCCTTCACAAAAGACAATGAAGCAGGCTGCTACAGGGAGAAAGGTATTGATGGGTTCTATTCACTGTTTGCATCGTGCATGAAAGCCTTTCCTCTCATGAGTGTTTTTGTTGTCGTGCTTATCTGATTATTTTAAAACCCTGCAGCACATAATTACAGTGTAATTGCAAATTAAGGCATTTTAGTGTTTACAAGAGCAAATGTGCTTTCCATTAGTTTTGTTGCTATGTTCTTATTTTTGACATTTCTAAGACCTAAAAAGCATTTGTAAAACGAAATTGCTAAAGTATTCGGTTTTTCATAGCTGGGGTATAGCATTTCAAAGATTGTGTTGTTAGTCGTCAAAATAGTAGAACATTTTTATTTACTAAATACTTTGTTCATAAAACACTGCCTTACATGTCTGTGTCTCTGTGGATTAAATTGGCGTGGTTCACATCTAAATTAGGTGTTGGCAAATAGGTTTCCATAGCTATTGCGAAAACCTCGATAATTATAATTAGAGGCCATTAACCTCTGCTGTGCTTAGTTAAAAAAAAGAAAGTCATTAGCACATTTACATACACTTGTATGTGTTTGCAAGTGTTATAGTTTATTGTAAGTAATGCAATGCATCTGCCTGCAAGTATTGTATAATGTATAATAGCATTCATTTCCTACATGGTATGTACCTGTAATGCGCCAATTCTTCGAGTTTGTGAAACGCAGCAAGAGAAATTGTACGGTGTAAAAATGAACCAGAAGTTTCAAAGTTTATACTAGGAGAGTTCATTGAGATGGTAGCACATTTGAAGTTCTTGATGAATATATAATTAGTATTTTTTATCGGCAGTTTGGTGTCGAACAGCTGATTGGTAATCATGAATGTATGCCTTGTCTTACAAGTGTACGTTATCTGTGAGTACTTATAGTTTTTTTATTTTATGATCAGCGTTGTCACTACAACTGATATCCTTGTATGTTATAACGTTTCTGATGATGTCTTTGCATGCTGCTTGCCTGCTAAGCAGGTCACAAGGCGGCCCAAGGTGAGCGTATGATTACTTATACCAACAATATCCCTTTGGCGTTGTAAAATAAGTGCTGGTGCCGCCACGGAAATGCCACGGATGTCAGGCCATACTTTTGGTTATATTGGTTTTTAACACGTAGGCTTTCGCGACCAATGTTATTCATAATCAACGTTTTTGGGTTTAGATCGCGTTATTTATAAATGTGTCGTAACCCTCCACCACCCGACACGGCCAATCAGTAAAAAAGTGTCACCATTCTGGCGAATTGCCCGATGATGCTGGATGCAATTACCAGCGAAACGTCGTATTTAAATTGTAGATGTTGTGGTTTCACGCTTCAACACACCGGTGGGCTAAAGCAGTGAACTATTTGTCTTTTGTCAACGTGACACTTTTTTGCTGATTGGCCGTGTCGGGTGGTGGAGGGTTACGACACATTTATAAATAACGCGATCTAAACCCAAAAATGTTGATTATGAATATATTGGTTTTGTTTTGAGGAAGCATTTCCCCTTCACATATGATGAGCAGTAACTGTAGAAGAAAACGTATTGCTTATAGATTTCAGATTTTCCTTGAATTGATTTTGGACATGTGTCTGTATATTTCTTACAATTAATGATTTGCACTGGCTATTGTCCATTGCGTCTCTCAGAGGTTCACTGTCATCGTATACGATTCATTATCTCTTGTCACATAAGCCATACTTCTGATGCACCATATGCCAAGCGAGAATGTGTTACCTCATGTGTTCAATGACGTTTAAGCGCTGAGGACTCATCCCCATACTTTCTGACTTTACTTTCTCCTCTTTGTTCACTTTTCACGTCCGTTTTACATGCATGCATGCGTGCATTTTAATTCACAACACGTTTTGATACGGTACGAATGTGAACCTGTATTCTAAACATATCATTGTTCAAGGAGTATGAAGAAAGTGGTCTTCAAAAGGCAATAGGGGTATTGTGCCAATTCACTATGAATACTACTGAGCAGATATACACATTTTTGTTTGTTTAAATGGATATAATTGAAACGAATTTGCATATAATACGCGTATATTCGATAAACAAAGTTTTGGTAAAGCTAAGTTTGCATTTATTAGAATTACTTTAAACAGCAAAAAAATAAGTTAATAAATAAATGCACTAAAATGAATACATTTAACAATCTACGGTACTATATAAATAACAATATGTAATAAGATATGGATTGAGTGTTGTGCATCGCAATGTTTCTTTGATTTATGTCCGTTTTTTTATTTTAATGCTGTACACTATAAAATATATTAAGTTGTCTTTGTTTATAATACGAATGATAAGTTATTAAGTGTTCATAGTATGAAATGGTAAGTTAAGAAGGCTGGGAACGCATTATCATAGTACTAATGTTATAAAATATCGAATATACGAACAAAGCTTCAGGAACGCATCGAGTTCAAATATCGATATATGACTATACGTGACAGTTTTTTTTATGATGCTTGTGTACTGAACATTGTGGGGGGTTTTTTTGCATTTAGTTTGTTCTTCACTCATGTCATATACCTTATGTTCTTCACAAAATACATGTACTTATTTTATGTTTCTTTGCAATTTCTTCCTTCTTTAAAAGATGTAACATTCTGTATAATCCTGAGTAATCGGTGGGATGGAATGGTGGCACAATGGTTAACACGCTGCGCTATGAAACTGGAAAACTAAGTTTGATTTCCATCCGCTGCAAACATCGGTGGCGAGTGACATCAGAACCGATCCTGGGTTGACCCCTTTACCAACCTGCAGTGAACCGTGTGGTGCAGTATGGTCAAACAGTCAAACAGTACCATTGACCAACATGGTGTGGCAAGGTCTTCATCCAGCAGAGGATTGACAAAGGCCTGTAAAATAAATGCTGCTTAAAAGGTTTCCTAATTATTTATAACAAATTTAATAAAGTATTAAGTCTATGAAAGACATGACATATATAATCATTTCAATTAAGCTAAAAGTATGATTGCTCATACTGGGGAGTAACCATTGTCACATTTCCACTGGCTACTCTTGATTGTAATAAATTATTCACTTACCTTATGCGTTGTGGTAACATAAGCTTTCACGCTTATTATTGATCTATCGTTTCAGAGAAAAAAATCGGGTTTTTTAGAACAATAAATCTGTTATACCACTTAGCATTGTGCTGTTCCTCACAAAGGTTCATGATATAGTTATTTTTTTTTAAAGCAACATAAACCAAACAATGTTCTACATGCAATATTAGTACAACTGATGTTTAGTGATTATTCGATGTCACTTGTCGAGTATTTACATATTTGACTGATTTGGTTTTTCAAATAATTGATTTGAATAGCCAACCTGCGCACATGGAAAACACTGGCAATGTATATCGGGTGTTACAGTGCAGATCACTTGTCTCCACCGTGCTCTTCTCATTCCACTGCTAGTTGCCACATTTATTGGTGACCATTACTCATCAACATCAGCCACTTCGAGATGAAGGCTTGCCCAAGTAATCGCTATCTTTCACGGTCTCCTGATGTATTCATCAAGCCAACTAGCTCCTGCACACAAGCTGCTTTTATTGTTCCACCTCTGTGATGGTCATACTCTCGCGCGCGTGTACCCTCCCTTTGTCTGCTAACTCATCGTCGGTCTTGACGATCAGCGATGTGTTTTGCCCAAGCCCACTTTTCTTAACAGTTGATATGATGTCTATAATTTGTGTTTGTTTTCTCTCTTATCCATGTGTTCCTCCTTTGTCTCAGTGTAATTCCAAGCACCGACCTTTCCATGATCAATTGTGCACTTTGCAGCTTCCGTTCTATTTTCTTTGTCGGTGTCCATGTTTATGATTCAATGTCACAGCGGGTACAATAGGCTGATAAATACTGATGTGATGAAAGTAGGCAAAGGCCTCATTTTGTGTAACATATACGTTTAAAATATTGAAACATTAAGTATCTAATTTTGGAACAATATTGACACCTTCGTTCAATGGGGTATATTACATTGCAGTGTTTGCATTTATTCAAGATTGAATAATAATTTTAACTTTATTATCTTTTGTGCACATACACTTAATTGCAAATTATAAACGGCTCCAAATTAATATATTCGTTTTTATTTTGGCATAATGTCTACAATGTCTTTACTGCACATTAACACGAATATTAGTAACGTACTGGCATACTGGGAGAAGTTCACTGATTTGCTGTATTTCATACTGAGTTGTACATCTTTTCGCGACCTATGTTTTCTCTTTTCTTTATGGCTCTTTGCCGCTTCAGGCAGATGCGGTAAGTGCTGAACCACTGCTTCCCTTCATGTTTGAATTCAGCTTGGTTTCTCCATGCATTACATTATATCCACTTGTTCTAACTCAAGGCCATTTATATTTGAGTGCGTGACACTGACAAATGCATATTGTTTATGTAGTTATTAACTTTGATAAGTATTACCTACCATTATAATCATCTACACTCATTTCCTTATTTCCATGACATGTAAGGATGATGAGGAAATGTACACATTTGTAAAATTCTCAAAGGCATTATTATGTGTGTGTACCCAGTGAAGCCTCACCGAGTCTCATGATTATTTTTCAATAGGGCTCAATGATTGTGGTATATATTACTATTGAGTAAGTTGCAGGTCATTTATCAACTTTGGACCATGACGCCGGCACACAATGGCCTACCCTTGCAAATGATGTCACAAGAAGCGGACACCACGTATTTTAATGGTTAATATACCTGCAGTAATAACCATGGCTGCAGTAATAAACATCAACAAGCGGCAAAAGCACTCCTGCTAGGCCAGCAATTATCAATATTTTATTAACACAATACTCATGCTGAATACATTGTACAGACACGTATTTCAATTTACTCCACTGCATCGTGTTACTGACTCCAATTGACAATGCATTCCTATATATTAACAAAAATTATGGCTTTGAGTGTCACACAATCATTGCCCTTTCCTGATTTGAATTCAGCTATTGCAGAAACACTATCACATAAGTACATTTTTCTAACGTATTCATCTATATTACAGGAACCTTATACATCTGGTCATATTCACGATTGTGCCACCTCTTAGTAACCTTCAGGAGAATTACCCATAATTACTAAACCACAAAATCTGCCTCTTATCAAATATTGTCTCACAGTAGATGTAATGGTTACTTTGCTTGGGGACTTAATCCACAATGCAAACATTTTCAAGTCTGTATTGAATAAGAGGAAGAGACTGCTGTGAGCTTAGATTAATGTCAAGCTTTTATGCTCCCTCAACTGCAGCCGAGCCGTATCTCGGGAATGTCAGCCTCCTCGGCAAGCGGGGCAGCCTCAGCAACGCCTTCGGCGTCCGCCTCTGCATCGGGTGGAGAGATGAGCAGCAGTGAGCCCAGCACCCCGGCACAGACTCCACTTGCTGCCCCCGTCGTACCTGTGCCAACCACGCCACTCAACATGCCGGTCGCCTCCCACGTCCTGTCCCCTAGCAAGGTACTGAAGGATTAATACTTGTCATGCAAAATAGATTTTCTCGGTGCATCATACACGTTTGTCATTCTCCTTATGCCAGAAGAAAATACTGTTCTTCCTATAAATGTAGACCCAACTTTATTTGTTCTTTTGTTGTGATCTAAATCAACATTGAGTTTGACAGAAGTATGGTAAACTTAATATATAAAACATATATTTTAATACAGGTCTGTACGTGATAGTGATCGACGGATGATGTTAAAATTGTTTGCATACATGAAACGGAATGCATATTACCGTCATATATTATTTAGGAGGAGGAGAGTCTGCGGCTACAGGTGAAGGACCTGGATGAGAAGCTTGAGACGCTGAAGGTAAAGCGCAATGAGGACAAGGCAAAGCTCAAGGAGCTGGAGAAATATAAAATTCAGATGGAACAGCTGCAGGAGTGGAAGAGCAGAATGCAAGACCAGCAGGCTGATCTACAGAAGCAGCTAAAGGAAGCGAAGCGGGTGAGCAAGAGGCATTAATGTTGTGTTCATTACCATCACAAATCGTGGGTTGTTTAAATATGGTACACAATGTTCTTTTTACTTTACCCACATCCATATTGGAGGATAAAGATCGTTCCAGTGTTTTATTTATTTATAGCCTGTGTCATATTTACTATAGAAGCATATATAAATGTCTATGTTCGTATTGACTTGTTAAAAAAAAAATACAGTGTTGGAAATGTTAGGTTTAAACAAAAATAAATGTAAAGTGTGTAATTGAAAACTAATATTGCTTTTAGGTAAGTAAATAACTGTTTATGACCATACAAACGAGAATGTGTCCAATCTCATCAAATCAGGGTTGCTAAGTAGAGTTGAAACTGGATCATGCACAGACGTTTTAATACCATCGGCTGTCATCGGCAGCTGTGAGGCTGTGCTACAGATGTGGGCAGCAGATGGCACTGCAACAATATCCTTTGTTGTGATGTGCTTTTATGCTCCAAAAATTCACCAATCCCCACTGACCCAACAACCATGGTGAGGGAGATTAAAATAACACCCATGATCACCACAGCGTGGCGATACCCTCATCTAGCAGTGGGTTGAGAAGAGGAGTGCGCATGTGCAAATTAACTGCATCTGGTATTTGTATGCGAGTAGGAGGCCAAGGAGGTGATTGAGGCAAAGGAGCGGTACATGGAGGAGATGGCCGATGTGTCGGACGCAATAGAAATGGCCACGCTCGACAAGGAGATGGCCGAAGAGAAGTCTGAATCCCTACAGCAGGAAGTGGAGAACCTCAAGGAGAAGGTTGAGGAGCTCAGCATGGACCTGGAGATCCTCAAGCACGAGATTGAGGAGAAAGGTTCCGTGGTCTTTCTGTACAACACTCTAAGGGAGACTGTAAACACTGTACTCCTGTGTTTATCGGTCTCATACAGGCCCCGAAGACAGTGATTATAGCCCTACAATGTGTATAGCACTACAATTGTTTAGCAATATTCAGAGCTTGACCATTTGGCCCATTATAGTTGGTGAAGACTGAGTATATTTTCACAAATAGTAATGATTAAGAAGATTTGCCAAAATAAGTCTGGCCTTAAGTGCACCAATTCACATGTTTGTATTATTTTAATATGAAACTAATATGTAAATAATTATGTTTAATATTTAATTTTGTCAGCAGTTAATGAAATATTTGTTCAAATACCAATGAAAACTGCTTATACCATTACAAAATTTTTTTATTGGAACGTGTATAGTTCTAAAAAAGCACTAACCCTGCGGCTCGTGCTTTAAAAATAGAGAAATATTTGAGACCTTTTAAGTGCTTGGTTTTATTTTGTTTAGCTTATTGCTGTTATTGTGTCATTTTTTACAAGCATACTTCTTAAGCGTTAACATGCCATAGGTCATCCTCCTAGAATTGTTTGTGCCATAGCTCATCCTCCTAGAATTGTTTGTGCATTAACGTAATTCTATATCGTGCTTTTATGTTCGTCTATTTTACACTTAACATGTGCAAACGAGGTTATAAAAATCTATTATTCTTTAAAGATTGAAACAAATCTACTTTTAAGTGTTTTTTTTGGTTCAGTGTTAAATATCCATTGTGTATTTCATATGTAAAAAAATTGGAGATATAGCATATAACCTAGCTTTATGACTCAAACATGTCTTTCTATGTGCTATTCATGTTCAGGAAGTGATGGGGCAGCTTCAAGTTATCATGTTAAACAACTGGAAGAGCAAAATGCCAGGCTTAAAGAGGCCCTGGTCAGGTAATTGAGCTTTAGATATATGCCGTGTGTAAAACAAAAGAAAATTTCAGTAAAATTTCATCTGTAACATTTTTATTTGCAAATTGTGTGTCATGTATGTGTTTATTGGTATGTTTGTATATGGATTAGTTGTATGAAAAAGTGAGTTGACTACGTGCGGTGCGAAATAAGTTCAACATACATCTGTATTGCAAAGCCATGGTTAATTTTTATATTGATATTCAATATTTAATGATATGCATTTGTTCATGCATTCTGTTTGATCTTGTATGCATTTATCATGTGCGGCATATATTGATTGAAATATTTTCGAGGTCAAATTTGTATTCACTTGACTTAGAAATTATGCTGTTTATGAACTATACTTTAACACTTAAATGTTCGTCATAGCTTCAGTAGCTGACGAAGGCGCGCTAGCTTGTGGAACATTTTCAGAGCTTCATGTGCACATAACCAACTGCTTCTGTGCTTGGCAGGATGCGTGACCTCTCTACATCAGAGAAGCAGGAGTACCTAAAACAGCAGAAGCATATGGAGAAGAAGAACTCGGAGCTGGACACTCTGCGTGCACAGAAAGAGAAGCTGCAGGCTGAGCTGCAGCAGGCAGAGGGCATCATTGATGAGCTGAAGGAGCAGGTGGCTGCACTCTCTACATATCCGCAAATCCTCTCGGGATTATGCTGGTAATTGTGGCGCATGCATGGACCCACATGAATGTAAAATGTTTGGCTTTTGTGTTTAGGTTGATGCAGCTCTCGGGGCTGAAGACATGGTGGAAACCCTGACGGAGCGAAACCTGAATCTGGAGGAGAAAGTCCGAGAGCTGATGGAAAATGTTAACGATTTGGTTCGTAAAGCACTTTGTGTTAAAACGCTGATAAATGGAAAAGATTAAATGCTTCATGATTTCATTTTTATGTTGTGCTCATTAGAGGGTTTCAATCGGTCTTGCATCAGCACAAATGGATACACACAAATGGTACACACAAATGCCCTTAAGTATGTAAGCAGGTACATTATATTTGCTGTGGTGCTGTGCCTTTTGTGCACTGTGCTAAATTTTCTTTGCTTTCCATGCCTTTGTAAAATGCATCTCTGCAGGAGGCCATCAACGACATGAACGACGAGCTGCAGGAAAATTGCCGGGAAACAGAACTGGAACTGCGGGAGCAGCTCGATATGGCAAATGCTCGTGTGCGGGAGGCAGAGAAGCGTGTGGATGCAGCGCAAGAGATGGTGGCAGACTATCAGCAAACCATGCAGAAGTACAGGCAGCTTACCGCGCACTTGGAGGTACAGCCCAGCCAAAGTCTTCTCTGTCGTAGCTGTAGTCATTCAAACCAAGCTAATAGCTATTCTATATGCAAGACATTTAAAAACATTGGAAACAGCTTCTGAGTCAAAAGGCCTAATATTGTATGGGGTCAGCTGCTCAGAATTAGTTTTCTCATTGCTTCAATCTTGCGCCTCTTCTCTCGTCACATCCACTGTCGTCATCTCAGGGCACTGCATCCTTCCAACTCACCCTCTGTCTCTTGCCCTGCACAGAATTGCATCTTCATTATCTCTTCTCAGCACATGCCAACCTACATATAAGCCTCCTTACCACCTTATGAATATTACTTACCCTGCTAAGGCTTTAACATACGTATATAATTTTTCTCATTTGAATAAAAAACATTTGTTTCACAAAGTTGTCCTTTTCTTTCTGCAATACTCTGTATACTGTCTGAATAATATTTGTCTATGAACTTAACCTTTTCTCAAATATCAAATGGATGCTTTTCTCCATGAGCAGATGTGTTTCTGTGTCTCTAGGACGTGAACCGCGAGTTGATGAGTCAACAGGAAGCATCTGCGGAGAGAGAGCAGACGGCTCCCCCTCCAGAGATGTTTGATTTCAAAATCAAGTTTGCAGAGACCAAAGCTCATGCTAAGGTAAATTTTTAAACGTATACATGTAAACTGTATGCTGATGTATTTATTAATTAGCACTTATTTTATCCACGAATAAATTACCTTGGTATAAAAGTGCCACACTAGGCAACTTGATTGCTCAAATCCAACCTTAACGTTTCTAAACATTGTCAAATAATGCCACAAAAATGTGTGGAGATTATGTAACTGATAATGTATTCGATGAATATAGGCTATTCCATCGTAGTCTGTTTCCAAAATTATTGCCACCTTTGGAAGGTAATCTAGTCAAAACATTACCATATTCTGCCACGGTACTATTTCTCATAAAACAGATCCCTCTGTGTCCAATCTGCAGAAAGGCAATACTTGACATACGGGTTGTGATTTTACAAACATATCTATACACACAACTCATACCTGCTCTCAATTGCTTTATCAGGCCATCGACATGGACCTGAGAAAGATGGAGGTGCAGCAGGCCAACCGGCACGTGTCCCTCATGACGTCATTCATGCCAGACTCCTTCCTGCGTCGTGGCGGGGACCACGACTGCCTGCTCGTGCTGCTACTTGTTCCCAGGCTCATCTGCAAAGTAACAACATTTGTACAGACACCGGGATGCTACATGTTGTTTATGGATATGAATATATGCATAGAAAACTACCAATGGTCTTGTGAAACGTCTCTGACGTATATCTGTCATGCGTGCAGGCCGAGTTGATCAGTAAGCAAGCGCAAGAGAAGTACGAGCTGAATGAAGAGGCGATGAAGTCTGCAAATCTGCGTGGGGCACAGGGCGAGCAGCTGAGCTTTACGGGTGGTCTCGTCTACTCGCTCAGCCTTCTGCAGACCATCCTGCACAAATACGAAACGTACTTGTTTTAACTGTCGTTGGCTGTCTACCTCAACTTTACACTGCACACAGCAGCAACATGAGCAGCGTTAACGGTCCTCCGTTTCACATGATTGTGTTCATCTTCTTGGTTCTTTCGGTAAAGTCACGTAGAAGGGAAGTAATAAAATAATAAAAATTATTAAATAATAAAAATTATTTTTCTTATTTTATTACTTCCCTTCTACGTGACTTTACCGAAAGAACCATAAAAATAATTTTTATTATTTTATTACTTCCCTTCTACGTGACTTTACCGAAAGAACCAAGAAGATGAATCCCTGCAGTCACGAAAGCTTTAAATCGAAAAATGATTGTTCGCTATTTCCTCTATGACAGGGCATTGAGCCAGTGCAGCGTGGAGACATACGTGAAGGTCGGAAGCCTGTACCCGGAGATGAGTGTGCACGAGCGCTCGCTTGACTTCCTCATTGAGCTGCTGCGTAATGATCGTCTGGATGAAACTGTTAATGTGGAGCCTCTCACCAAGGCGATCAAATACTACCAAGTAAGCATTAGCTTTGGTGCCCTAAACAAGGCTTGTTTTTATGACTTTCATTTGTATTTAGAAACTGATTGGATTGGATTCTTTGTCGTTTTATTTGTCATTTAATCTTCATTCCTTTTGGATAATAATATGTTGAAAATGTTTATTTGGCTGTGATGTATATTATTTAATATGCTTAATGACTTTCAGTTGTATTTATAAACAGATTGGATGGTATTCTTTGTCGTTTTATTTGTCATTTAATCTTTATTCCTTTTGGATAATAATATGTTGAATATGTTTATTTGGCTGTGATGTATATTATTTAATATGCTTAATGACATGTTTTTTTTGTATTAGCATCTGTACAGCATTCATCTTTCTGAGAAAGCAGAGGATTGTACGATTCAGCTTGCCGACCACATTAGGGTAAATATTAACCAGCTTATTTTTTTAGATTCTGAAATTTTTAAGGGGAAAAAAAGTTGTATTGAATGTAAATGACCTGCATTATATAATGTTAATTCACAGACGTTTTAAAAAAAAATGTTTTAAAGAAACTGGATTCGAGACTTATTCTGTATTTTGTGCTCAGGTGTCACAGAGTGCCCTGGACTGCATGGCAGTGGAGGTGGGCAGGTTAAGGTCATTCTTGCAGGTGGGCATGACAACATTTTTCCAGAAAGGACTTTTCTACATGTTTAACATATTACATACTATTGGTCATAATGCACTGAGTTGAGAACCTATTGACACTTGTTCATTACACCAACAGACTGGCCAAGAAGGAAGTACATTTGCATTGCTTCTGAAAGACCTGGAGACCTCCACCAGTGATGTGCGGCAATTCTGTAAGAAGGTCCGCCGCCGCATGCCAGGGACAGATGCCCCAGGAATCCCAACTGCACTCTCTTATGGAACACAGGTACGTCCCTCGATCGCGCTACTAAATTCTTTGCAAACAATAAATGTCGAGCATATGCATAGATTCTCTAATGCTTTCCAAACATGTGTTTATACTTGTAAGTATTGTATTTTACGAATTGTTCATCCCATTGTATTTGACATGTGATGTTGCAAAATAACAACATTAACTTTAATGGAGAGTTGAGCGTGCTCATGATATGATGTCATTGTCTTGGCTGATTTTTCTTTTTACCGGCAAGTTTTGTGTCATTTGCTAATTTTTTACAGTATAAGTTTCTAATAGCATCACAAATTTTAATGCAAATACTAATTTTAACTAAAATGTGTATTTGCATTGGATCATCTTCATGAGAGATATTGTGACCCCATGTTACAGACAGATAATCTATGAATGTTTACAACCTTAGTTGGAAAGTGTAGAAAAAAGGCTGTTTTACGTCTCTTTGCACAAGTTTGAATTTGAGTTTTATCATCTCAGGTCGCCGAGGGATTGCTGGATTGTCGTAAGCACCTGAGCTGGGTGGTGGCTTCGCTACAGGAGATTGCAGCTGTTTCTGCACAGATGATTGCTCCACTCACAGAGAATGAGGGCTTAAATTCAGCCAGGCTGGAAGAGCTGGCCTTCAAGGCTTCAGAGCAGGTTTGCCCACAGCCCTCTTCACAGAAAGCAGGAACACTATAAAGAGTAGCATGGTGAATACTGAATATTTTTTATATCTTAAAATAACGTATTATTTAATCAATTACGTCTGTTGCAGATATATGCAGGGCAGAACTTGAGTCCATATGAGTGCATACGTCAGTCCTGTAACGTGGTGATTGTCACCATGAACAAGCTGGCCACAGCCATGCAGGAGGGAGAGTACGATGCTGAAAAACATCAGAACAAGGTAGAGAACTTGCATTTCATTTAATTAATAGCATAGCTTTTTTAGTTTTTTTGTATAATCTAATCTTTGTTTGCATATTCCTCCATTGTTCAGCCTGCAAATCCTGTGGAACTCAGAGCTGTTGCCCTTAAGGCAGAGATAATGGATGCCGAAGGCCTGGGCCTTAAACTTGAGGACAGGGAAACTGTCATCAAAGAGCTGAAGAAATCCCTAAAGATCAAGGTAATATGAGGTTGATTTGTAAATGTGATTATAATGTAACATGTTTAAGAGCCCAAACATTAGCAAGGTTGGCTACGTATAGTGTAAAAGAAGTTCTACATATGTACAAATGTAAATTGTTTAAGGAAGCGTGACTGTGATTTAACACAAGTGTGCCTACCTACCAACAGGGAGAGGAACTGAGTGAAGCCAATGTGCGCCTGAGTCTTTTGGAGAAGAAGCTGGACAGTGCGTCGAAGGATGCTGATGAGAGGGTCGAGAAGATCCAGACCAAACTGGACGATATCACTGCTCTCCTTAAGAAAAAAGAAAAGTATGGCTATAGATCTATCATAAACTCTGATTCACTTTGTTTGCTGTTGTGCAATCTAGTAATATGGTGTTTTTATGTTAATACACAATAATATATGCAGATGGTACATTTCTAAGATGCAGTCAAAAGCAATGTTGCTGTGAGATGGATTTTTTTCTTACATTTTTGTTCAGGGAGTTTGAGGAAACAATGGATGCCCTGCAAGCTGACATTGACCAGCTGGAATCCGAAAAGGTGGAGCTGAAACAGAGGCTCGCCAACATGCCTCGGCGCTCCGTGGAGGGACTGCGTGGTGCTCAGACATCAGGGATCGCCTCTATTGTTACTGGCATAGCCACAGGTATATAATGCTGCTTGTGTCTCCCTCGGTGTAGTATGTTCTCACCATTGTTTGGGCAATAGGAAAGTGAATTGTTGGAGGCTAATTGGGAAAAAATACAGGAGAAATATTGAGAGAAATAAAATATCTCATGAATTACAAAGTTGAAAGATTATTTTGATGATTGAAAAAAATCTGATTCACTAATTTGACCTGATTTTATTGTGCTAACAGCTTCAACAATTTTTTTTCAACTTTTGAGCCCAGCATTTCCACTAATTTATACCATGGATTTCAGTGACATTTTGCTTTACCAATTTTTTTGTGTGCTGTCAAATGTCTCCATTATAATCACATTCATTTTACATCTGCCTTTCCCATCACCTTTATTTGCCCCTCAGATGATGAGGATGAAGGTAGAGTATATAGACTATCCTTACTTGTGAATGGTCAAGGCAATCATTTTTAGAATGTATTTTTTATTTGGTTGTTATTCCTGTCATATTCAGGTTTAATTCGCCTATTGATATTTTCTCTCAATGACTGCAGCTATGTGTGCTGTGTAATCATTTGCACAATTATGCCTGTCAAAATATTGTGCAAATTGCATTGCAAAGTATGAGTCCTGATTTTTTTGTAAGGCCATAAAAATCATGCATGATACTCCTGCATTATACATATCATACTATATACTCAAAGCTCTACAGAAGAAAAACAAGAGGGAAATATTTTTTACAAACTACTAACTTATTTGCTTATGTCGATTGTGTGTAGGTGCTTCCCCAACACAAGGTATGGGAGGTGGTTCAGGGCCTGTGCAAGTCAAGGATTCTCCTCTCCTTCTGCATCAAATTGAGGCCCTTAAAATGGCACTCAAACACCTAAAGAATGAAAACAATCGCCTTAAGGTACAATGCAATGTACTTTTTATCCAAGATCCACAAATGGAATTGCACACTTTTCATGGAAATATTGTTTTATTTTATCGCACCATAGCCAACGTATGGGCTAGAGACTAATATTTTTTAACATGCATTCTAAGAATATAATGAGAATGATACCTTTTAACTTCTGTGCATTTTAATTGTTGTCCTAAGGCTGAGAAGATGAAATCGGACCTGGCATCACTGCCTCCCTTGCGCATCCCGAAGATAACAGTTCCCTCCCAGGCTGGGGAGGAAGGTATGGTCGCTGACCCGACACTGGCCCTCAACAGGAAGACAAACCAGCTGCTCGAGTCACTGCAGCACATGTGTGTCACTGCTCGTGTGGTGGACATTTCACACCGAAAGCCAGGTGTGCCTTTTCATACCATCACTCATTCAGATGTGCATTATTTAACAATTACAATTTACAGTTCATTGTCAATCTACTAATGTTCTTGGTTCTTTCGGTAAAGTCACATAGAAGGGAAATAATAAAAGAAATAATTTTAAAAAATTATACTTTTTTTTATATCTTGTTATGTTTTATTTGTATTATAAAAAACACATAATATGATAAAATTATTTATCTTATTATGTTTTATTTTTATTATTTCCCTTCTACGTGACTTTACCGAAAGAAGATGAAATTCTTTATCTTATTATGTTTTATTTGTATTATTTTATAATTTCCCTTCCACTAATGGTTGACAATCTCTCCGTGCTGTTCGGTCATGGGGTTTGACCATAGTTTACTGCCCTCTTCAGCCCACCTTGGTAATAGGGGCATAGATTTGGGAGCAGACTGGTTGAAACATCACTCAAAACTGATGCTATTGATGTTAGCCATGAGCTTTAAAGCATAGTGCACAAACGACTGCTACACTACCTCTTTCTTACCACAACATTGGAATGTAAAAAAAATCACTTGTTTAAAAAACGTTATTTTTATATAGCAGTTACATTCAAATGGCTTGTCATATGTTGTGTTCTTATGCTGAGAAGGTATCATCCCACCGGTGGATAAAGCAAGTCCAGCTAATCAGTTGCTAGAGCAGACAGCCCGGCTGAAGCAGATGAGTGACAATGTGGAAAGACTGAAGGTATGTACATCTTGGTTACTATTTTAATGGAACTCAAGTTTGGTTGCTGAATTGATTGATATAGTAGATTTTGTTCTGGTCACCATTCATAACATTTTATTTCACAATGTATGTTATTATTAACCTTAACATTTAGATGCATGTAAAGTAACACTTTGTATGTGGCTTAAGGCTATTTAGTTCATTACCATTTCACTTAAAATGTTGACTACTTTTTGCCCGATTGCATGCAGGATGAGGTACGGCGGATGGTCATTTCCCAGCACCCTGGTGCACAGATTAAATCTGACCTCACCACTTTCCCCTCTCCAGCCTTCTCCAAGGTAAGGCTTAAATATGTATAAACTGTTTACCACCTATGAATGATTTAAGTTTGAGACATCATATTGACTGCTCAGAAAATCTGGATTGGGCAGGGCCCACACCATTAGATGGGAAAGACTCTGTGGTTGAAGCTAATGATGGAGTGGCAGCCAAAAGAAAGAACATTGTCGGGAGGTTGGCTACCACGAAGATGGAGGAGGAGGTAGATGGATTGCTGCATCGTGAGATCGAGGCAAGGTGACAGCTTTGGGAGGCTTTCATCCAGTCGTCGATCAATCAAAGGATGTTGATGCATTATTTGCTGGGTTACCTGTATTTTTTGTTATAGATTTCAATTTAGCTTTAGATGCACGTATGCTACATATCTTTTGATGGTGAGGCAAGAAATAACCTAATGCACATTTATTATGCCATTTTATTGTATATTGTGAAAATATTCTATTGCTTGATGCGTACATTTAATTGCCTATTTTATTATTTCGTCTAATTAAAGTGAGCATGTATACTGTATCCCTGTTTACAGGCAAATGCGGAGATGCAGGGAGATGCAGTATACCTTGGCAAGGTGACCATCCCATGCCCTCCTGGTCAGGGCAGAATTCACAAGCTTACTCTGCTTCCCAGCCAACTGCAACAGCTCCACACACGCCTCATCTCCTAGAGCTTCCACATGCCACAAGATCGTTCTACACTCACATTTCAAATGTGTAACTGGTTATTGTTGATAAGTTACTATATAGCACTAATGTTTTGCTCAAAATGTGAGTAATCTGAAAAAAATGTTTTTGTCTGTCACCCTGTATAAGATTGACTTTTGCAACAGTGCACAAACTATATAGAGGGAAATTAAATATGCATAAATGGTTTGTCATGTGTATTCTTGGCTTGCTGTTTGGTGGCTAATGGTGGTCATATTGATTTCAATGCGAAGTAGATATGTTGGTTATGTCTCCATTAAAGTAAGCAATACGCATTTGGAGTGCATCCGTTGCACTTGCATGTATTATTAAACATTGGTAATGCGTGCGAAAATGTTGCTTATGAAAATATAAAGTTATTAATATCAACAGAAACAAGATTTTGTGGACAGATTAGAATGCAACTTGTGTGCAAGCCTTGGACAACTTTGCAGCAGGCAGTTTTTGTAAACAATTTTGGGAGAAAATCTGAAGCTTTACATTGCCTTCAAACTGGTAGTTGTAAAGAGTATAAAGCTGCATAAAACAACACCATGACTTAATTTAATATCTTCATTTGGCAGTGCCCATTGTTTACATGTTCCACAAATTGGAGTTGCATTAGTGGGCGTTTGATTTGTAGAGATTTAATTTAAAACCTTGTGGATTGTGTAAATCGATAAGCTAAATAACATTTTTATGGAGACGTAGCCATTGCCAAATTAATGCATACAATGATGCATATCATCACATCTCACGTCATTTGGAGTAGCCGTTTACAATATTATTTTAAACGCGGACTTGATAAATGTCTCGCAATACGTTTCACCGCTTTGTGTAAACGTGTATTGACGCATAATCTTGCAAATAAACGAACACGTAATCGGATTTGCATGTTGTAATTTTTTTTGTACTGTATTGCTCGTGGTGCATTTCTACTGTTTGTGAATTTTTCCAGTTGGACCTTTTTCACCGTTGCTTTCAGCGTGCCCAAAGCTGCTGCTGTTTTAAATTTCAATCGCCTCTTGCCATGACTGAAATACGGATTAAAGTTACTTCTGACGCCCTGCCTGTTTTGTCAGTTTAAACAGTCAAAAAAGTTTTGATTTAAAGCTTTCGTGACTGCAGGGATTCATCTTCTTGGTTCTTTCGGTAAAGTCACGTAGAAGGGAAGTAATAAAATAAAAAAAATAAAACATAATAAAATTATTCTCACGACGTTTCGGCCACAACGCAAGCAGCCATTGTGGTCGAAACGTCGTGAGAATAATTTTATTATGTTTTATTATTTTATTACTTCCCTTCTACGTGACTTTACCGAAAGAACCAAGAAGACAGTCTAAAAAGGTCCTTTAATGTTGATGTAACTAACAAATCCTTTAAATGCCATCGCACATTAACATCCACACAAATGACCGACAGCTGAACTGAGCTTTGAATTCTGACAGGTGACTAAATGAACACCGTTGTTGGCTCTTGGCTGTATGCTGTAGTGCCCATAATTGATCAATTTAAGACCTACATGTTCATGAAATAAAACATCAAAATGTTAAAATGTTTTCTAAAAATATGTCGCAGTAACAAGGTCGGCCGGTTCTGAGGTGGACCGTGTACCACCACATGTCCCGATAGACCCCTACCCAAGTTCACTCGTTCGTGAATCACTGTTATCGTGGCCCTCCACACAACAGCAGTATTGCCCCCACTCCTACTTCCCATCTGAAAAGAGCTGGAGCAAAGCCTGGTACGGTATGTGACTATTTCCAGTTTCTACCCCTCTTTAAGAATGAAACAGGAGAATTTCTCCACAAATCTGGCTGTCGCCTGATGATGCTAGTTGTAATCACTGACGAAAAGTCGTGCTCAAATTGCATGTTCTGTTTGTGACAAACCTTATTAACTCGGGTGGTGGCGGGTTTAACGACTTATATTTACATTATCTAATCCCAAAAAATTATTATTAATCCTAGTTTCGTTTACACTGCTTATGTTTTCAGTCGGCGAGATGGCCAGGATACAAGCGATGCAGCGATGAATGATTAAATATCTGTGAAGCTTTTGAGTGCTAAATCATGTATAGGTTTTTTTCACTTTCTATTCCGGCCTTCGAGTTGCTGCCACACCACCACCACCAACTGTTCATAATTTGACAAGCAACTCAATTGTAAGCGACCGATGACTTTTTGTTGTTGTTGCGAATACGCGTTCCATCATTGTCGTTTGTTGTAGTTTAGAACCTCGCACGTTGTGCGCACGATTCCTGGGCGCCCATTGGCTGCCAACTTCGTCCAATCACCGAGCTCCTTTTCAAACGGCTTCACAGAACCCATCGACGCACGGACAATTGTTGAGCAATTTACGGCTCGTCAACTCGAAGGCGAAATTTGTCGCCATCCTTCGCCTAGTTATTTAAACGCGCCGCAATGACGCCCGCGCACACACACAACGAATAAGAACCGCATTGAAAGGCGAATGTTGTCACGAGCGCTGCCGCATTCGACTACTCGACGACGGCGTGCCCCCCCCCCCCCCCCGGTGAGCGGGCGGCGCGCGGCCGCCTTGGGTGGCGTCTCCCCGGTATGGGCTTCCAGGCGAGCCGGGGGGGTGCGGGGTAGAGGCTTCGGCCTCCGAGAAGCAGGGGCAACTCGTCACCATAACGCATAAATGTTTGGTATCTTGTGGGTGTGCGTTTAGGTTGTGTTTGCAGCTTTGTCTGATGCGAGCTTGGTCTTAATGGTGGCGGTATTTTGTTTTGTTTAATCTGGAGATAACTAAATAGATTGGGATACAACAGTAGTCACATTTGTAAACAGTGACACGGGTCATCAAATTAAATGTGTATTTTAAAAGCCTCAAAACTATATGGGCACCATGCAGTAGTACCGCTGTAACGACGGGCTTTACTGTTATTAACTTGTTAATATTCTTAGTTTATAACGAAGCTTGCAATTTTAGACGCACGGCACAGGACACAGCCAAAGTACTGTACAGTTGTAGAATAAGAGCTGCATGATTATTATTTTTTGGATTGCGTCCTTCATATTATTTGGTTCTTTCGGTAAAGTCGCGTAGATAGGTTCAAAGAAAATAACAAAAACTACGACGTTTCGATCGCAACACCAGCGGTCGTCTTCATACTTGAACGATGTTAGGTTGTTGATGGCAATTTTGTCGTATCGCTATCGTAAGATCGAAATATCGTAAGTCGGGACCATCGTAACTCGGGGACTACCTGCAGATTCACTGCTGCTCGTGTTCAACTTGCAGTCTTGGGGCGTTCGTGTAAATTCCACGAGAATCAGTCGTAAATTATATAAACCAGCGTTGAGTTGTGTTTGTATTGACATTCTCTCTGCAACAGTTACTGCACTTAGCTGGGAACACAGCAGCGAGCTTTTTTGGGGACTGGTTTCGATTTGTATAAAAACAAGAATTTATTGTTTGTCCTGTTTGCAATAAGTTTTGGCAGGTTTCGTGCGAATAATGTTTGTTTACTGGACATCTGTGAAAAAAGATAGCTATATAGCTCATGCTATTCCGATTCTATGTTTACACATAAATCTTGACTTAAAGCTTTCGTGACTTTACCGAAAGACCCAAAGAATATGTTTATGCTTTCATTTATTTCTACCTACGTGACTTTACCGAAAGAACCAAAGAGTATGGATTCCTGTAGTCACGAAAACATCAAATCTAAACTTAAAATCTAGAATGTTTACGCTTGTTTGCGCATTCCCTGCTGCAATGTCCTGTATCCGCCACCATGCCTGCTCGTCCTGTGAAATCGCTGCTTAGCTCAATGAGCCTTATATCAGGTGAAATAAAGTCTTGAGTCTGACCTGAGTTTTATACCCAAGCACCGTTAAACACGAGTGGCGAGTGAGATCTGAACAGGTCCTGTCGCAAACCCCCATTGACCAGCGTGGTGAAGTCTAGTGATGACCAATGACCATCACCGCGTGGGAAGGGAGTTCATCCAACACTGGATTGACAAATGTCAACATTAATTTAATGTGTGTATATTGGATTAATTTAAATGGTATACTCCACGGAAAAAAAACTTAAAGTGCTTTCTGCAGCCAATCAATGGACAACCACTGTTTAAATCTCAACACTAGCGGTGATAGCTAATTCATACCCTGTATTTTTCGCCAGGAGCTTGAATCTATTCATATTCAAATAATAGTTGACTGGCAGTTAAAGCTGTAGTATGAAATTTAGATCAATGGAAAATCCATGGTTGTGTGTCAGTAAAACATTGCTGGAACTGTAAAACATTTTTTACAACAGAAGTTTATTTCCTATTTGTAATTAACAATGTGGTGTGCCCCTTGTCAGTGTTGGTAATGTTTGAGTTGCAGAGACGTGAGAATGCTGATTTGGAAAGTGTCTCATTCTGTGAAACGCGGCAGAGAGAAATGGGGTCTCACACCTAGCAAAGACAAAGTCGTGGTGCACTGTGTGGATAAAAGTCAAAGTGGGCGTGCAGACATCCGAGTGAGGCAACGGATTCCCATTCGTGTGGACTTGAAATTCATGGTTCTTCCTGATGATCGCGAAGAGCTCCCGTCGCAAGTCTTTATCGCAGATGTCATGGCGAAAGAGCTCGGCTCATCAGGCAACACCTGCGAGATGCCAGAGGTAAAAGACGACACTTTTTTTTCACAGTCTAGTACAGGATGATCCACTTATAGATATCGCACTGAAACCATAAAGAATAAGTGGAGAAATGTCGAGAAAACATTTCTTTTCAAAGCCTCTGCATGTCCATCACCTATAACAATCTACTCTTTACATATTTAACTTTCTGTATTGCTTTCCCAACATTCAGTCACCTGTGTAGAGGAAGTAATAGGGTTATGAAAAATCAGGGCACCTTACATAGACGCACCCCACACACTCACACTTATTTGGATTCGAAGTTGACCATGATGGCCATTACTGATGTGAATGTTTTTTTTCCCTTTGAAGTGCGATGGCGAGGAGAGCAGCGATGACATGTTTGGGGAATATGACAGTATTGCAGGAGACATCTCATTCATGGATGCACTTGAAAAACAGCACAACCAAGACAATTGTTCACAGACGTCCAGTCTTACTCAGAAAGACCCAGAACCACCAAACTGTCTTCCCAAGAAGCTTGTGCAACACTCTGCTTTGTCTAGTGGGACTACATTGGGCAGCGACAATATTGGTCAAATGAAAACACACAATGTGGAACAATTGCTGCCTAATGACTGGAAAGAGAAGACCATCAAGAGAACAGAATTTAATGACAGCGTGGGTTCTGTACACTTCGTACAAAATGTACAGACTGAGCTGCATCACGGTTTTAACACAAATAATGTAGAAAACGACATTCAGAGCTGGCCGAGAGGCAGTTCTCAAAATACAAAACTTCCAAAGCTTGATGAAACCATTCACACACTAACGTCTAATTCTAAAGCTGATGCACAAACACGTTTTCTTAATTCGGAGGATGAAATAAAATTGGCTGATATCTTAAAGGATGATTTAGAATGTACGATAACCACCAGCAAACTGCTAAAACGCACTTGTACTTCTGCACTTTCGGAAGAGGAAGCAAATAAAACAAATGCTGCCTTTAGTGAAACGGCTGACCACATCGCTTGTGGAAGAGCTGACAGTTCTTCAACAAATGTGCTTGGACCGGAAAAAATAAAAGTAGCCACAGATGTAGTCAATAAGGGCATGAGCATAAGAGATCGCATCAAGAATACGCTCGTGGGAAACGCGAGGGCAGCCACTCCTGTGGTGTCGCGCACCAGGCACCTGCAGGAGTCTGCGCTGTCGCACGAGAGGCAGATCGCCATGGAGACTTGTGCCAATGACAGCCAGTTTGAGATTGGGCCTTTCTATGGTCTTCC